CCCTGAAAATTAAGGCTGGTTCCGCCCCTGAGGCTACATAAGTTTATCAATGCATCAAAAGTATATGTCAACTTCATACCTTTTTTACTTGTTAGCTTAAGACAAAAAATAGTTTTATCTAAATATTTATGAACTATGAGGGTTAAACTTTATGGCATAGTTGCATCTTCTTGGTGAATCATTGAAGGTAGGCATCATCTCATTACTTTTTTTTTTTCACTTATGAGCTTTAGATAGTTAAGTGAAGCTCTGATTAGAGGTAGAGAATAGGGAAATCCCTTTTATTTCATTCTTCTTACTTAATTAGTGGACTTTTTGAAAGATAAGGACATGCTAACTGCTAGATGTATCAAGCCATTGATAATTTTATTGTATATTAAATGCTTCTTACTTAATGGACTTATTAATGATGGTCTTATTTCAATTGAATGAGTTCTTAAATTAGGTTAAACGAGCATCTTTTTTCTACTCCTTGCTTAAGGGAACTATTGAAAGGGGCATAATTTAGTTGAGTATGGTTGAGCCTTAGGCTTCGTTTGGAATGTCTTTTTTTACCTCTTTTTAAAGTAGCTTTCTAGTACAAAATTTTAATTTTTGTACTAGAAAGCTGCTTTAAGAAGCAGTAAGAAAGCCGTCCCAAACGAAACCTTAGTTGGTGTAGTGATTTAGCAAGTCAAGGTGAGATAAAAGTTGTTAATGGTAAGTAATATGAATTAATTTTTTTGAAAATCTTAAGAAAATGATTTTGAATCTTTTAGTTCAACATCAAAGCCGAACCCACATTCTACGCAGCGCGGGCTTCCCCCACCCATACCAACCCATGGTGACTTTTGGGACGTTGTACCCACCCATACCCACCAAATTACCACGATTTTTGAATGCAGCTAATCATAGATTGATGGCCTACAGGCTTGCTGTATTTTACTTTGATAGCAAACTTCCAAGCCACATATCTGAATTAATTTACTATGGTCGCAACACGGTTTAGTGTTGTGCACTACGTAGTGAAGATTATGTTAATATACGACATACTATGATTAGCAATATAAATCGATTTATCCCTCGATGTTGTATACCCACCCATGAGACCATAGACGTACCCATACCCATGGGTGAGTGTGAGTATGGGTACCCAATGTAGGACTGTGGTGAGCATTCTACAACCATCATATTTGTTTATCATCTTTTATAGTAAAATTGCTAGTACTTCTAAAAATTGACTATATCACATCCATAAAATCAGATTATAAGAGAAAAAATAACATCTTCAAGATTGGATATCATTTAAAATTAAATAATATTCTCTTTTGGTTATAAACTACTTCTAAAAAAAAGTGCAAGTTAAACATAATAGAAATTAGGAAATAAAAATGACAATTAAAATAAAAATTAAAGGTGATTTTATGTTTAATCATCATAGTTCATCAATTCAAAATGGCTTTATTAGGATATAAACTCCATAAAAATCTCTAAATTCGATAGAATTATAATAAAGATTTATGAAAAACATTTATGATTAATTCTTGATATATATCAGACTTACATGACTACTAATATTGCATTTAGATTATGAATTCAAATTATTAGAATTATATGCAACATTTGTGAAATTACTTAATTTTTTTAATTAAAATATTATAATAATAACATTATATAATCACGCTCTTTATTTAAACAATCAAAATTATATATATTTTTATATTATAACACTTTATCTTTATATTTAACATGTTAATTTTTGTATCCAATTTTATATATATATATATATATATATCTATATGCATCCCTTTTTACACTTATAAAAACAACTTAAAACATTTCAAATATGCTACATTCCTTTTACCCAACATTCCTTATACTATGCATTCTTTCTACTATGCATTAATTTTTAAGCAAACTAAATAACCTTATAACAAGATGTGCTAATGTGGAGTAGTTGTTGTCCAATTTTTTCAATATATATATATATATAATATGTACATAAGCTTTCACAAAAAAAAAAAGTTTTCTTCACGATAACTTTATAACCACCAGTTCAAAAAGTTCCAGTTGCTTCAAACAAAGCCTAATAGAGAAAATGGAAAGAAATACTATTCAATAATGAGATACTTAGTACAAATTTAAGATTAATTAGGGTATTATTTTACTCTTTTATAGTCATATATTCTGATGTAGGCAAAAAACATTTCAAATGGGCATTTATTTGTGGGCTATTTTGTCACATATTGGGCTTGGTCCATTTACCCTTAGTTATTTGGTGTTTGAAGTTACCAGCTGTTGGTTTTTGGCTGGCCGTGCCTCTCCTTGGTGGCTGTTCAGTTGCTAGTGCTCGGTTCCTAGGCTGGCAGTGCTTTTCCTTGGAGTCTGTTGGATTTCCTGTCTGTTCAGTTCTTGGGGCTGGCTGTTCGGCTGCTGGTCGCTCGGTTCCTGGGCTGGGCTGTGACCGTGTCTTGTTCTTTGGGTTTTTCCGTGTTTTGATTGGGTGATAGGGTGGCTGTTTGGTTTCCATTTTTTCCTATTTAAAGGGTTGTTTGCGACTGTTTTGGAAGTGAGTTTATGAGTTATAATATTTGGAATATAAAAACCTGCAGGTTTTTAGCTTACGAGCTAAGTCTTCTTTCCCCTTCTCTTATATTTCATCTTGGACTTCTACCTATTTCTTCTCTCCACGGTTTTCCCTACCAATTGTATCATTCTTCTCAAAACTTTTGAAAGTTAAGAATAGTGTTGTGTTTTATATTTGAAGTTGATTTATGTTGTTTAAGTTTTAGTGAAAGGAAATCTTGGTATTATGCAATTTTTTTTATTGCATCATATTCTCATTGTTTTCCCATTAACTTTAGTTTATTTTAGTTAATTTAACTAAAAAAGTACTACATGTTATCCTTACTTTTTTGGGGGGAAGCTTCTAACTGCTGCTCTCTTTTGATGGTATGTGGGCAATACTGCCGAAGCATATGCTCAATTTCATCTGAAATTTAAAATAATTGATTTAGTAAATAATCTAGTATTTACAAATATGCTTATGAGAAAAACTCTACAAAGGATCTTCATATTTGTGAATTCCAACTTATATTTTCATATAATTTGCAGATCTACTTACGATCATATTCAACTATTATTCATGGATTTATACTTGCCAAAGTTGATTAACATATAATAAATGTTTTATTAAAATATTTAAATGTAAATTGCCTTTACTTTTTAAACACCAAGGATATTTTAAATGTCTCATATTCATGTATTTATACTTGCCAAAGCTGATTAACATGTAATAAATGTCTTATTAAAGTATTTAAATGTAAATTGCCTTTACTATTCAGGCAACAAGGATATTTTAAATGTCTAGGAGACGATGTTGGCAGGAAAATCGTCAGTGTGAAGTTTCTTTTGCAAATATGAAACAATTAATGGTTACAATATCATGGCCATTATCTCAAATATGAAAATAGATATGAACTCTGAAATGTATTGTTTAAATAGAAATTCTGAGTGTTTTGGCAAAATGTGTTCAATATGAAGTGTTTATGACTCATCCAATTGGTTTAATTTGTCAAATATTATAAGTATTGTTTTTCCTTAAAACTCTTAGCTTTTTGATAATCATCCATTACTATTTTACTTAAGGCATGATGGATAAGTTTTCTGAGCCAGAAGGACAAACATGAACAAGTTGACTTGTTTCATGCATCTTAAAAATGGTGTATTGCCCATTAAGGCTATGTTTGGCACCATCTAAGGCAGCCATGAAGATTCCCCGATAGTGAACATTATGCATTTCAAATAACATTTAATATGAATTATTATTATGATAACAAAAAAATATAAGTTTTCACAGTTAAGTTTTTCCTTTATTATGAGCTTTATTACTAGACTGTGGGGTTGGAACAGTTGTTGTTTTTATCTCCATTGTGATGCAGAGATCATGGGTTGAAGTCATGCAAATAAGCTATCTGCAAATGTAGCACAAGGCTGCATTACACCCTTATATTGCCAACTTTACTACTATAGTTTAAACAATAGTGTTAAAATAATATGTAAGCGATTAGAATGGTTCATCTGAGTGGATTGAAAAGTATTAGTTATATGAATATAATGTAAGACTTACTAAAGATCTAAAGTAACTTAAAAATTAATAATCATGTACTAAAATTTATTAGAAATAATGCAAGTGTTGCTACAATACTTTAGCAACAATCATCTCTTGTAACTCACTTTGGAAATATGTTTATTGTTTTAGTTTCAATGCCATGACTTGGCTCACCCAAACATGTTATGCTCTGCCAATTTTACCCCCATTTGTTTATGCTTATTGATGAATTATTAAATGTTGTGACTAATGAAAACATCTCGCAAGATCTTTTGTGAATTTCTTGATTCAATACCATCATCTTGAAAATATAAGATAAATAACTACAACCAAGCATTTTTCTGTGAAGGGAAAGTTATTCGATGCTAAACAAGCCATGAGCAATGCACTTCTTTTGCTAAATATTAATTCTTTTTATTGTTTTCAAGTTGTCACCAAAAGCTTGTGGACATACACGTGGAAGGAAAGTGGCTTCGAGGGAAGAGGCAGTGATGAGAATAAGAGCTGCAATTGATGCTCGGAATGAAAGTGGATCTGATTTGGTCATCATTGCACGTACTGATTCCCGCCAAGCTGTATCGTTAGAGGAAGCATTGTGGAGGTCGAGAGCCTTTGGTGATGCTGGAGCAGATGTTCTTTTTGTTGACGCACTTGCTTCTAGAGAAGAGATGAAGGCTTTCTGCGAGATATCACCTTTGATCCCAAAATTGGTATGTTGATCACTCTTTCATGGCCTAGTTTTCTGTCAAAAGGGAGTTAAATTGAAGGTATTAGCGATTTATTCAATTGTTGATGAATAACAATTCCCTCCCTCTCTCTCTCCCTCTCTCTCTCTCTCTCTCTCTCTCTCTCTCTCTCTCTCTCTCCCCCCTCTATTATATATATAATAGTTCTAGAGCATTTAAGTTTTTCAATCTGCTTAATAAATTACTTTTAAAGATGGTATTATTGGGTTACATAATTTGGTTTGTATTATGGAGCACAAAAAGTTCTAACTCTTGAGTTAAATCAGAGGGTACCTATACCAAGGTTATCATAAAAATTTCAGCACTTTTCCTACCAAACATGTGAGCTGGAAAAGTCTAGTTTCATTGATAGACAACCAAAATCTTTTACATGAAAGAATTCCCCAGCTGTCTCATCCAAAAGTGGGAAGTTCCATTTTCTCTCACCCAACGAAACAAAACCTTAAATTGGCATGAGGCTACAGAACATTGAATGTGAATTCAACTGTGAGATGACGGAACCGTCCAATGGGGGAGAGGAAGTGGGATTGACATAAACAACTGCATATTAGTGATTTAGAAACAGTAAATGATACAAAAGTCAACTGTTAATTTAGCAGTGGGCAATTGTTAGGATTAGGCTCTTTTTGGCTAGTTGGGTTGGGCCCGGGGGGCCAAATTTTCAGTAAGATATTTTATTATTTATTATCATGGTGTACATTTCGAAACATGGGTAAAACGGTTAGTGTTGTCCATAACTAGCAAATCATGTTCATGCCATTTTCATTTTGGACATTGATAGTCATGTCATTTTTCATGTTATCATATTGAAATTGGGTCCTTTTTTTATGATGATCTTGATATGAAGGGTTTGCAGAGAACATAAATAAAGATATCTAAACTTAATATATCTAAACTTAATTGATCCAAAGATATCTAAACTTAATTGATTTTGGATCAAGTGTTGTGCAGTAAGATATTATGAACATTGAAATCAAATGTTGCCTGAAAAAAATGAGACTGATAAGATTAATGAATAGTAAAATGATTTAGATTGAGTGAGAATTATTCCACTGAAGAGATTCATAGGAGAACCACCCACAACATTATATAAATGCAGTTGATCTATATCTTTACTCTTTGACAAAGAGTGGAAGATGCTATTGTGAGGGGTGTAAGGGGAAGCCAATGCTTAGGAGAAGATGTTGTTGTGGACTTAATGGGATACAAACCATGAAGATGGTCCTTGGAGAAGTGTCTTGTTGGTCAGGAGTCCTTGATAACAAATCCATTTGCATCAAGAAGAACAAAACAAGAATTGTCAGATGTGAGCTTGTGAATAGAAAGAAAATTATGAGAAAGGTGAGGAATGTGAAGAATTTTCGGTAGATAAAGCTTACTATAGGGTGTGGGGAGTAAACCTTGACCTATGTTGGCTATAGGAAGCTACTGACCATTGCCGACCTGAACTTTAGAGGAGCCAAAGTATGGTTGAGGATTGCGAAGCTGTGCGAAATTGGACGTTAGATGTTCGAATGCAACAAAGTCTAAGAACCAATCTGAGTTGGAGGTGGAGTTGGAGGCAACGTAAGCTTGGGGAAGAGAGTTATAGGTGGTGTCATGATGATATCAACAGTTGAGGGATGAGTGTCCCAACTTGCCACATATTTGACATTCGATAGATGGACGTGAACGACGACCTCCATGGATGGATGAAGTGTATAAACGACCTACAGATGTGCGTACAGGGGAGTTGCGGACGGAGGAGGTGCAACCTGCAGAAGAGCTACCTCGAGTTGAAGGAGAAAATTGGGCATGACCGCGAAATGTTTCACGAGTAGTTGTTAATGCAAACTGAGAGTCACCAGCAATGGGGGAAGATTTCTCCCGAGTGGAATCAACAGCAAGATATAACTCTTCACTGCATAATAAAGCATAGAAATCATCCAAAGAAATAGGATGACGTTGTGTGTGGATTGCTGTTTTGAATGACTAGTATGTATACGGTAATCCATTTAGTGTGTAAAGAATGATATCTTCAGGATCAATATGGGAACCAGCAATAACAATCACATCTACTTAATTTTTAATATCAAAAAAATATTGAAACATGGTCTTATTTCCGAGTTGAAGTTGGTGAAGCTCATTTTTTAGTTGAAGCAACCTGGACCGATTAGTGGACTGGAGTCTGCGTTCAATTGTAAGCCATATATCATGTGTGGTTTCAAGGTTTAGTACATGGGGAAGCAGGGAGGGAAAGATAGCAGAGTATAAGGCATATGCTAAGTGTTGATCAACAAGCAACCATGAGATGTAAAGGGGGTTCATGACAACAGCACCATCGGTAGAGAGGAGTGATTTTGGGGGTTTGAGAATAATGCCAGTGAGATAGCCATCAAAGCCATTGGCTGTAAATAATTTGAAAAGTTGGGACTTCCAAATTAAGTGATTATATGAGGTAAGCTGAACAGTAACCATAGTTTTAACATTGGGCATAAAAAACTTAAGTTGCGTAGGTATTAGAGACCTCAATGGAAGCAGGCGGAGATGTAAAGGCTTCGGTCGGAGAGGTAGCTGATGAATCAGTCATAGGAAATGAGAGAAGAAAAAACACCTACAGCTCTGGTACCATGATGTAATAAACCTGCATCTAAAACAATTACAGACTGCCTTATGGGAAAAGCAAAAGCAGAGATTAGGGATCAAATGTTCTTCATTAAAAGTTGTATTGTAATGTAAGTGAATGCAGTATATATGTAAAAGACAGTTAGAGATCAATGGTTCTGGTTACTGCAGCAGAGATTTAACGCTGCAATTGGTACAACTCAGTTCCGATACAGGCATAATGAAGCAGGAATTATGTTTAAGCTGTAGTATGTATAGGTTTAATAACTTATTAGGACTGTTTATCAGAAGTGGCATCTATGATGCACTGACAAAGATGAACTGTCAAGTTGTGAGTGTAAAAATTGTTAACGTCGAGCATCAATGTTAAGACAATGTTAGAATTTGATGTTGAGATGGTTTTGAAATATCGATGTTGTAAGAAAATCAGATGTCGATGTTGAGATGACATCCGACATTATTGTGAAACCAAAGTCACGACCGCCAAAGTGAAATGAAAATAAGAATATTCGGTTAATGGGGTGTTGAGTGTGGGCAATTGATTTGATGTTATGGATAGAAAATAAGAAATTTAGTTTTATAATTAAAATAAATAAAAATTTTAAATACAAGAAATTATATTTTTTAAAAAATTCATAAAAGATTTAAGACACACGTGTCGGACACGCGTGTCCAATTTGTATTTAATAGTTTTTTAATCGAACACATTTTTTGTGTGTCCGACATGTGTTGGAGGCGTGTCGGTCAGATACGTGTCGGACATTATACGCCTCTTTCAGGAGAAGTGTCGGTGCATCATAGATCTTCATTTATAATAAGATCAATAACTTTGTGTAAAACAATCTTTCAAAATTTCTCCAGAATCTTCATCTTTTTTTTGCACGAAAATATTCCCTCTCAGTATCCTTCACTAGAATCATATTTCCTCCTTATCTTCTATTTTTCTTGTTCAAACTCTGGCCAAAGTAGTAGTTTCTTATTTTTATACTTCTCAATACATAAATATTGTTGTCTTTGCAATCTGAGTATTTCATTCTGAATTGGATCCGTAGAAATTGCTTGAGGCGGAACCCATTATGTTGATGGAAAGTGATTCTCTTGAATCAGTTGAATATATGGCTGACTTTCAAAAACTACGAGCTCAAATACATCTTGAATTGGAACTTCAGCTTGTTGATTGTTTTGGTTGTCCTTTTTTTTAAGAAAAAGGAAGACTCACCTGACAACCTAAAGCTCTGATACCAAATTAATGCAACCTTATGTTCTAATACCAAATTGATGCAGCCTAAAAATAAACTTTGCTCTAGGAATGCAAATAAAAACTCACTTCCTTTTTCATTCACATAAACTTTAAATAACATAAACAAACACAAAAATAAAGCAGTACTAACACCACTTACTACTTATAATAGAACAAAACACGACACAAATTAAAATTTACAATAGTTTTAGAGAAGAAAGATACAGGTGGAATGAAAACTGTGGAAAAAAGAAAAGATAGAAGTCCAAGACGAAATATAAAAAGGACAGGGAGAAGAAGATAACTCGCAAGCTAGAAAAAATCCAGTTCTCCAAATTCCAAACCTATTGCTGCTACTATATGCCAGATAACACGTATATTCTGCGTATCTGATCGATGACTAGCCTTAATCGAAAGTTCTCTCTCGTGATCGGGAGGGGTAATTAACTATAGGGGCTTGCGCCTATAGGAAACCAGAACTCAGATCATAAAGTCCTTACAAAATGAGGGCGAAATCTCTGGGTAGTGTCTTATTTACAAACCCATCTGCCTTCCAAAAATTACCTCGGAACTTATTCAGTTAAAACTCCCTCGCCGAATAAGAAAAGCAAGCGAGCGGAGGCCGGGGCCGAATTTTCGAAGCCCACAGTTTTGAATGATCACGTTCCAAAAATTCTTCAAAGTCCCTCACACTTCACAAAGGAAATCAACCCCAATTTATATGAGAAATAAGAGATAATAACATTTAATATATCACATAAATGTGCCCCCAAAACAGCAGTTAAAAACCACCAAAATAGCCCACATTTAAAGCCTCCTGCATAAGAATTAGCAAAGTGGAAACCGAGCAGCAACAACAAGGAAAACGAGCAACCAACAACAAGAAAATAGCAGGACAGCAGCATGGGGAAAAACAATCAGCATAGAGAAAGCCAACAACACTTAGGGAAGACCAAATAATAGCAGGTATATAAGAAGACATCAGAGAAAATGAGTGGACAACAGAGAAATTGAGAGATAACTGGAAAATTGAGGGGCCAATAGGGAAAAGAAGGGTCAACAGAAAAAAAATGAAAAGTCACCGGTGAAAGAAAGCTAGACTGAGTAGCTGTGCAGATCACGTTGCTGTTTGTTTAACTTTTTTGCCCGTACAAAATGGGAACAGTGCAGTTGCTATCTTTAGTTTAGATGGTGAGATGTGTTCCTCTTTGTGTTTTGTTTTTCTTATTCTTCAGCCTACTTTTACAGTTCTTTTAATTTTTTTTTCTGTTGGATTTAGGAAGTTTTCCATACAGCTGACAAATTAGTTCTTGAACCTTGAGATTGGAATACAATAGTTTTTTTAATCGAAATAGCTTAGAAATTTCTAAGCCTTATGATGCTGGAGAAAAATTGACCATAAGGCGTCATTCCTCTTTTATTTTTTTGTTTCTTGACTTTTTTTTCTATTATTTAGTTTTATTAAAAAGATGGGGAGAACCTCTTTCAAGGATTGTAATTTTGCTCAAGTTCAGGTACCTATTCTGATATTGGGTATAATTAACTGTTTTTGTTTTTATTTCATTATTTAGAAATCACTTTTCTAATTTTTTACGAGCCTTGTTTGTTTATATTGTAAAATTACTTGTGGTCGCTGGCATTTGTTACTGGGTCTCATCGTCACTTCTTTCTCGTTATTTCATCTAAGAGTACTAATTCCTTAGTTATGGGTTTCTGTATTTAGTTCCTGCAAATTAATAGCATGGATTGTCTAAGTTGAAAAAAAAAAAAAGTTGTATCTCAAGCAAAGTTGTCCTTTTCTGTAGGCATAACAAGCAAAGATAAAAGGCCATTGTGTACCATTTTCCTAATCTCAAGGTCACTATTACTCCAATAATTTTTTTATTATTTTTACGCTATTAATTTCTTTTTTAGCTAGAAGATAAACACTGTTACACACACTTGATTTTTGTAAAATTGTTGTAGTGACTATTGTATTCTAATTATTATTGTTTGTTTAATCAATCACCAATTAACATGGGGAGGCACTATGAAACTTGTCCTCTCATATTTTTTATCGCTAGAGCTATTTGTTTTCTATCGTTTGTTTGAGAGATTCTTTCAATGTAAGTTGACTTTGTGCAGTATTCTTCACTTTAAATATTCTTTTGTTTTGCTTTTAGGCTAACATGCTAGAGGGTGGAGGAAAAACACCAGTATTGAGCCCAGCTGAACTACAGGAGATAGGATATAAGCTTGTGGGGTATCCGCTGTCCCTCATTGGGGTATCAATCCGAGCCATGGAGGTATGTCCTTTTACATAAAAGTTTCAGTGTTGTGTATGCTGATTTGATATAAAAAGATTTAAGTTAATATCAATTTGTTAGTTGTGGTTTTGCTATTATTCTTCTTCTTTTGAATTAGTGAACTTCAAATGTAAAATAGAAGTATTAGTATGTCTAGAAGAACCCCATGTCAGAGTTGTACATGGGCATGTTGTAGTCATATTGGAACATAAGTTGAACAAAGGAAAAAAATAAAAATTTTAGATTTTTCTTGAGTATAAATTTCATCATATTATCACAATTTTTGGCAGAAACCATAACTCAGATCATAAAGTCCTCACAAAATGAGGGAGAAATCTCTGGGTAGTGTCTTATCTACAAACCCATCTGCCTTCCAAAATTTACCCCGGAACTTATTCCGTTAAAACTCCCCTCACCCGAATAAAAAGAAAAAAGCGCGGCGGGGAGGCCGGGGCCGAATTTTCGAAGCCCACATCTTCAAAATTTTTAAGCATTAGAAAATATTTTAGCGGAGAGATCAAATGAAAAAGTTTTTACAATAGCAAACCTAATGTTAAATTTTGCGATCTATTTTGTATAATATTTCCTCACTACGTTAAGACACATGCAAGTATTTATACTTTATAGCATGACAAAGGTGACTTACATTGTACCTTACACGAGCGAGGTGGCATCGACAATGTTTGCAGTGAGACCACAATGGGTCGATAACCAAACCTTTTTTTATTTTTATTTTTGCCTTTCTTATTGCAGAAAATAGTCTTATGTAATTTTGTTGTTTGAGAATGTATAATGAATGGTGAAAGAAGTATATCGTCGTGGACGATTAGAACAAAATTTGAATCTTACAATCTTGCCTAAATTAATAGCATAAAATAGTCTTATCTAATTTTATTGTTTGAGAATGTATAATTAATGGTGAAAGAAGTATCAATCATTTGGATTCTTAAAAGTTAATTTTGATAGATTTGGAAGAAAGAGGTGGATTGAAGGTAACTTGGATTAAAAGTACTGCAAAAGGATTTGTCAAATTAGTTTAACATCTTATGCAATACTCATTAAGAATTAATGGATAAAGAGATACTAATTAGTTAGGATAAGGCCGATGATGATATTTTAATTGAAGATACTTTGGAACTTTTGAATGATATTGATCTTCACCCTTGATTTTCTTGATGGCTAGTGATCATTTTCCATTTTTTTTATAATCATCTAAAATTTGGACTTAGTCAAATTCACTCTTAGTTTGAAATGGAGATTTCAACCTGCTATGATCTTTAATATCAATCCTACCTTAAGATACTTTTTACTTTCTTTAAAAGGTTGATTTTATTGAAGTACTTTAGTTTTTAGTCCTTATATTTCCTCTTCAATTCCTTGAAAAACTTGTTCGATAAAAAATGTATATTTTGTATATATGATTTAATCAATAGCCTAGTGTTGCTAAAAGCACCTCAAAGCTTGCTTTAGAAGCTTTAGAAGCAAAATGAAGTGATGCGCTAACCCAGTGCATCGCTTGCCTGTGAAGTGCAAACTTAAAGTAAATCGCATGTGTTTCACTATTTCATCGCATCGCATTGTAGTATTATATGCTCATCCTCTACTCAAAGAAAATCTTGGTTTAGATTTCATATTCTGTTCAAAATCTGCCGCAATAACTAAGCATGATTATTTGCTTCTTCTCACTATTTATCATAATCATCTGAGTCATTGCTCATTAGTTCTCCATTCTCTTTTCCAATTATATTGCTTCTTTGTTATTCTTCTCTTTATCTTCACTAGTACTCATTGGCCTTTGTAGCTTCTCTCTTACAAGCTTCTTCTCAATAATCGATATCTCATCTTCACGCATTCTCTTGCTTATAATGCATTCGTCTCTCGATTTCTAGCTGATCACCCAATTTGATGAGTATATTCTTGAATTTTATATATTCTTACATCGCTTTATTATTTATCTTTTTTATCTTTGATTTTTTTAAAATTTATAATATCTATAAATTAGTGCTGTTGAACATATCATTATATTTGCTAAAAAATTTATTTCTTAATATGATTTATGTTTGGTTATTTAAATAACTATCTTATATTCTTATGTACAATTTTTTTTTTATATATATTTTTAATAAATGTATGAGCACTCTACTTAGTAAAGGTGTCTATTCGCTTTGCGCTTTGTGTATTGAAGTAAAAAAAGAATCCTTACCCATCGTATTGCGCTTAATGCTGTGAAAAATATTGATTAGCCCCAATATGATATTAGATTGTGACTACAGTACCTTTTATTTTTGTTTTAGGACTTGTTTTTTTTTTTTCATGATTAATGGTTTGATGCAGATTCATAAAATAAAAACCTTTGTCTATTGTTTCTTCAATTGAATCTATCCAATCCAATTTTGGAAATTATTCAAAATAAATCATCTTATTAGAAGAAATAGGTGGATTTTCTGCTAAAATCTTCCTCCTACGAGTAAACAGCATCACAACCAAAGCGCATAATACATATTGATTTAAGAAGATAACGTGAAAGGAATCTGAAGAAGTTAGGGTGGGGCTTCTTGAAGTTCTCTAAAAAGGAAGATCTATTTGGCTTTTATTGAATTATCAGATCCCCTCTTTAAGGAAGAAGAAAGCCTTCGGCTTTTTACAGTTTTAGACAAATACAATGCCACGCCTCTTTAATACTAGCTATTCCTTGGATTAAGTAATTCTCAGAGATTGAGAAGCAAAGAAAATATTTGGAGTATTGGTTTATTATAATCGTTGTCTTTTGAAATAAAAGTAAGTTAAAATTAAATTTGAAAAAACCAAAATCATTTTTTAAACCATTGACCGCATTGTTAACATGAATTAATTTAATCAGGCAAATTACTACATAAAATCTCTATCATATCATCTATCTCCACGTTGGAATGCTCAAATTCTTTACGCTAAAAATTTGTGAATACTTTATGGTGAGATTGTGCATGTGCCTTGAGTTTTAAAATTTGTTCTTGCTCTGTCACATGGTTGAATCAAGGCCAAAACCTTCCTATCATTTCTGATAAAGAACCTATTATTCATTTTTTTTAGATCAGACAGACTATTTTATTACAAAGTTGTGTTTTTTCGATCCTTGAACAGCCTAGTGGGCATCTGAGAGTGATGAAAATTTCTGCACATTAGTAATTATGCACTATTCTCCTACAGTAAAGAGTTTATATTATTATCTTCAGGACGCACTGGTTGCTTTAAAAGGTGGCCGTATTCCTCCTCCAGGGAGTTTACCAACGTTTGAAGAGATCAAGGAAACAGTTGGGTTTAATGAGTATTACAAAGAGGAAGAACGGTATAAAATAACTAGTGTCCTTCCCTCTGATGGAGGTTAGCACCAACCTTTCCTCTTTTTTTCCCCTCCATTTTGTGGATCTCGAACTAAACTTCGTTTATGCTTTTGGTATTGATAAAATGTTCCCCAGCATTTACTATAACATCAAAAATCCAAGAAGAAGCCAGTCAAAGAGCAGAGAGAGTAAGTGAACCTGTTGTTGAGGTGCTCAGTCCATTGCATGATGGATACAAGTCAAATGATTCTAATGAGCGCTCATCTGGTATATGGTCTCGGACTCTGAGACTAAAAGTCACAGGAAATAATGGGGTTGAGAAACTTGATATCCGTATTCCGGTTAGTAGATATTTCCTCTAGTATATAGATGCATCTACTTCTATTATATTTATAAGAGCATATCCTGTGCTGAGTTTTATACCATATAAATAAAAAGTGCTTGGCATGCATGGTGTGCTATGTAGCTTTAAACCATGGTTGTGGGCAATAATCATTTTTCTGCAAGGGCTTATGCCTTGGGGAACCAAGCTTGGAACCCCAGCAATGGCGCCTGCATGGCCACTGGTGTATGAAATTGGGCTACCTAAGTTGTCTATGCTTTACAATTCATAGCCTAGTAATAGTAAGCTTCAAATTGTTTGGTGCTGCCATGACCAAACTTCTCTTTCATTGGGCTTAGAACAGTGGTGTTTGCTTATGATATGCTTGCAGCTATTATAACAATGCATGAGTTTCACTTTGGCTTTCATGTTTTCATTGGTTTTCCCTGCAGCAGTTGCAGCGAGCGATTTTTTTTACTCTTGTTGCTTTGATGTTTCCTGTGCTATTGCGTTTGCATTGCTTCTTAAATGAGCATAAATCTTGGACAGGTGTTGGTGGATGAACAGTAGAGGTGCATTATTTTGATCTACATATGCTTGTACTATTGCTTATTTTTTGGATTTCTTATAGCACATGCTTTCAAAGCTTTTATGCTTCTATATATTCTGAATGAAAACGCAACTATTGCTATTGCTCAAACAATTGGGTTGGTAGTTGGCACAAAAATGTACATGTAGTACATGAATTGGTCTAGGGGTATATTTGGTTGATGTATTTAAAATTAATGCAATTTAGAAATACAAACTAGAAGGAATGTTATGTATGTTCAATTTAAGTAGTTTGATTAAATGTAAATCAAAATCATTTGTAATGTGGATGGGCTTGGGCGACATCATCACTGATACAACTGGCAAGGTCAAGGGCAACAACAACAACGAGAACGACAACGGATGAGAAAGGAGATGAGAAGGGTTGAGGTCTATGCCACATGGGAAGGGATCGGGTGAGGGTGGTAATGGGTGATGTTGACCCTAATAGTGATGCGCAAGGGAGGCAAGGAGGGACAAGGCTGATTTCATCTTCGATGGTCTTGGGTGAGTTCATTGACAACAAGTGGACTCAAGCAAGGGAGATGACAACAATGAAAAAGGCGATGCAACGACGAGCTTAGAGGCACTAGATGTATAGAACTTGGAAATTGACCAATTTAAAGGATTTTGAAATGTGTGCAAAAGGCTGGGGTTTGTTTAAAATTTTTATTTTCTTCCTTTTTTTTTCTTCAAACCAAACCCAACAAAAAAAAAACAAGTGTATGAAAAAGGAATAATGCACCCCTATTACATCCAACCGAATGAGCTTTTATAAACTTCTTTTGAGGAGGTATAAAGCCCTTCTAATTTCATGTTTTGTTTGACAGGCTGGGTTTCTAGAGGGGATGTCAAGCATAATTCCAGGTATATTGGTTCATCTATGCTCTTTTAATTTCTAAAAGTGTGAAAAGTATCCCAAAATAATTTAAAAGAATTATAGGAATGACTGGTGACTTGTTATTCCACAGGCTTGGGTGGAATAAATCTTATTGAACTGTTAGAAAATGCATCACAGGAGAGCACAACTGCGAAAGGGAAATTGCTTCTTGAATTCAATGGCACATTGGGTGATAAGATTCAGGTTTTTGTGGAATGAGCTGCTCCCTCCCTCTCTCTCCCCTAAACACTGCATTTTAATTCAGTATTTATCTTTATTGCTGCATTTATGTAGATTATTTATATATAAGACTATATGGATAGTGAGGTATGAGCATAACTCTCCAATTGGATAAGCAATAAAGCATATTTATGTGGCTAGCAATTATTTGAGTTGAGAGAGAGGTGGCAGCTCAACTTGGTCTGTTAGTTGAGAGTTTTGACAATCAATCAAGAGGTCTTGGGTTCGAGTCTTACATATGCGATGCGATATGTGTGCGTTTGTCTTAATTGACTTAAATGTCGTAAAAAAAAGAGAGATGTGGATGAATTTATGCTAAATGAGTACAAACTCAATTATAGAGGGATTATGTTAAAGGAATGCCAAATTGAATTTAAATAAAATAAAAATCATTATGGCTGCCAAAAAGATATTTTTTTTTTCAAATAGTGCATAACTATTCTTTGTTTTTTTTGTGAATAACTATTCCTTTGCATCTATTTAATTAATAATTTAATTAAAAAATAGTAAAATATATCAAGATTTAAAATTATTAATCTCAAAATTTAATGTTATGATCAAAATGATTCATTTTTAAAGAGTTGGGGGGTCTAATTTCTCCATCATAAAGAGTTGAGGGACCTTTATGATCCTTCTCTATGAAACATAGATTTTAACCCTTTCTAATTATCATGACAATTATATATATTTGACTACCTATAATAGTCATCCAATTTAAATAAAATGATTATAATTTAATATGTTATTTTAAATCTAATCTATTTAAAATGAATTCAATGGTTGAAGATAGGATACTACATGGCTAAGGCCATTTTTAAATTAAGATAATTTAAAATTTATAGAATATCATCTCAAATGAATTAAACATCTAATTAAAGTTAATTGTGAATATATATTTGTCATGATAATTAAAGAGGATATAGCCCTTCAAATTCAATTTTGATTATCTTTAAATTCTCTTGGTAACCTAATGATTGTAATGAATGTGAGATATCACCAACCATGCACAATTTTAATTTTTAAGTGCTTTTTTTGTGTCTTCTTTATTTTCGTTTATTATTATTATTATTATTTGTTTGTTACTCTCCTCATTATATCATATTTTTATTTCGAATTTTGATTTTAGATAATAAAAATTAGTGAGATAGTTTAAGATTTAGAGATTATTTGGGATAACTTTTTTGCTCATTTGTTTTTCGGGTGGTAGCTACAATTTCGTTTGATAATTACTTTCTCACTATTTTTCAATAAATTCTGTGGTGAAAAAGTTGGTTTTTGTAACCAGAGTATCAACCAACTTTATAATATGTTGAAGCAGAGTTTGTTTGGGGGCGATTATAACATTTTATAAAATTAAATGTGAAGTTGTGTGGAAATTAACTTAGCTACTTCAATTATAAAAAATAGCTTTCAACTTAACAAACGGATAAAAATTTGTGTAAAAGAAGAAAAAAATGCAATAGTTATAAATATCAGCTTGGCCGATCAGCATAAATTATGCTTAATCAGACCAGTCGGTTAGGGACGATTAGACAATCTTTGGTCATATCATCGAGGCCAATAGGGGACAATTTTCTAGCTGCTTTGTTTCTAAAAAAAAATATAAATTCATTTTTGTATTTTTGTTTTGGGCTTTCTTATTATTTTTAAGAAATTTATGCGGTGAATTTTTTGAAATCATAATAATGAAATTGTTTTCTCCACAATAATTTCATAATAAATTTTATAAAATGCTTTAACATGAATTCCACAATAATTGTTTTCTCCACAATAATGTCATAAAGAGATCCTTATTCTCATTCTAAGCTACTTTATAGCTTTTGGATAAATTTTAATCATTTTTAGTGATTTATTTAACATGTACTATTATCAAGTCTAATTCGTATATCTTCTTAAATTCAATTCTCTTTATTTTTAAGTATTTTCTAATAAATTTTATTAGTACATTTATTACTCTAACTGAGTAATTTCATCCTTCATTTATCTTTAGCATTTTATTCAAATTAAAATTGAACTCTTGATTAAAAAAAAAAAAAGACGAGTACCCCAAATCTCTATATATATTTTAAAATTCAAATGCTATCTTTTAATATAACATAAATTATTAAAAAATATAGTTAAATTATTAAATTAATTTATCCAAAATATTATAATATAATTAAATTTAATCATTCATAAATATATTTATCACTTGAAATTTAAAAAAAAACATTTAATAATTTAATTATATTAAAAAATGAGATATAAAATATAAAATCAATGATAAACATTTAAAAATAATTTTATACTTACATAAAATATATTAAAATATTCTTTTATATTTTTATCATCTTTACACTAAAATGATTACTACATCTAAAAATTGACTATATCACATCCATAAAATCAGGTTAGAAGAGAAAAAGTAACATCTAAAATTAAACATCATCAAATTTTGATATCATTTTAAAATTAAATAATACTCTCTTTTGGTTGTAAACTACTTAAAAATAAAAAATATATATTTATAAGGGAAATATAATAGAAATTAGGAAAAGAAAAATGACAATTAAAATGAAAATTAAAGGAGATTTTATGTTAAATAATCATCTTACTTCATCAATTTAAAATGGTTTAATTAGGGAATAAACTCCATGAAAATCTTTAAATTCCATAGAATTCTAATGAAGATTCATGAAAAACATTTAAAATATTGATCAACTCTTTATATATGTCACACTTGCATGACTACAAATATTATCATAAAAAACTATATTTATATTATAACTTCGAACTATTATAATCATATGAAACATTAATGAAATTATACTTATACCTGCAAATAATTATTTTTTAACTTTGATATATCATCAAAAAAATTAACTGGATCGGGCACGAATCTCAAGGCAAAGTCAAGATGGAAACTTCAAAAATTAAATATGGGACCATCTGAGCTATGATTTCAGCAAATGTATAGTCGAATTGAACATCTCGAAAATACAAACCCAACGACACCAAATTCAACTCAATCAGAGCCCAAATATGTCCAATTCAAAGACCGGCCTGAAGCACATTTGGAAGGTTCAATCCATAATTTGGATTATCAAACAACTTCTAAATATGGCGTGCTTATAATTGAATCGAGCGTCTCAACATGACGAATCCAACGAGCCTAAGATTGCCAAATTCTGATATCATTAAGACATTCAAATGCTCAATAAATGGTCCATGATCAAGGGATTCAACATCGGCCATCCATTCAAATAACTACCAATGTACCCCTGATCTTCCTCTTATTTACTGGTCATGTCACTCTCAAAAAATTATAAATAGACCCCTCGTTTCTCTTGAGGGGAGACCCCAAGCAAGAAGAGAAGAGAATGAAGAAGAGAAGGAAGAAAATGAAGAGAATGAATTGAAGAGACTCCTCCTCAAACACCATCGGACTTCCACCCGACTGCCAACTGACGCTTGAATTCTACCCAACTGTCGACTGGCACAGGAGTTCTGTCCGTCAATCGACTGACGCCAGATTTCTGCCTGACCGTCAATTGAAGTTGTATTTTCGCCCGTCCACCAGAACATCGTCGGATTTCCGATCTCCGTTTGTAACTAAATTTCAACCTGAGAGTTGATTATTGAAATATGATCATCTTCAATTTCAGGGACAAATCAGTCACTTGTAATCTAAGTAAACACTAGTGGAATCCTTTCAACTGGGCGTGGTTTTTCCCTTTTCCAGGGTTTCCACGTAAAAATTCTTGTTCCTTTTTTATTTTGTTTGTGTGCTTGATATCATTACAAATCTAATACATAAAATGTTTTAACCTATCACCGCGTATATTTTAGCCTGCAACAAACTTAAATGTTATAATCATAACTTGACAGAATCACACTCTTTATTTAAATAATCAAAATAGTTATATACATACACATGAGACTTTCATATAAATACATTTATTTATATATTTAACATCTTAATCTTTGTATTTATTTATATAATATTTTAATATAAATTAATCAAAAAATAGATATGAAAATATATATTTTATTTTAGATGAGCTATTATTAATAATACTTTTTATACAATTTAAAATTTTAAATTTTATATATATATATACTAATTTTATTACACATGTATTAAATACATATGAATAAAATTTTTAAAAATGTCATATTATGAATCTTTTAATTATATCATCATTCCTAAAAAATATTTTAATTTTATCATTATAACAATTTATAATTATTAATTATTTTAATGAAGAGTTTAGGTTTGTGTGTGTGTGTGGGGGAATGTTGGCCATTGAAAGAGAATCATAATATTAAGTTAAGTGTTGTTGAGATGAGAATGCTCATGTGGATGAGTGGATTTACTCTTAGAGACGGGATACCAAACGACCATATCCGTGAAAATGTTGGAGTAGCTCTAGTGACACATAATATTAGAGAGAGTCTCCTTAGATGGCTTGTTCATGTAAAATGACGGCCTTCCGATAACCATATTAGGCAAGTAAATTATTAGATTTAGTTTATGTTAATAATGGTAGAGATAAACCTAAAAAGATTTGGTTAGAAAATATTAGAAATGACCTTTCTTTATTAGATTTAAATAAAAATTTGACTCTTAACATAACACAATGGAGAAAAAGGATTCATGTAGCCAACCTCACATAGTGGAATAAAAACTTGATGTTGTTGTTATTGTTGTTTGTTTGGGAAGTGCTAAAAGGCATCACATATGAAGAATTGAAGACCTAAAGTCTTTGTACGTTAAATGGGTGCAAAATGATGCTTTAGCTCTATTTTTTGTATGTTGAACATGTGTTATTGTTATTTTAACTTTTATTTGTAGGCCATTAATGTTTTGTAAGGGATGCAAATGTGAGGGTTCTTAAGCATGAGTTGCATATTGTTTAATTGAAATCCAAGTCTCTCCATGTAAATCTCCAATCTCCTTTCTTGTTGCCGAATGGATCTCTTGTCTATTAGGTTCTTATTTTACTGCAAGGAATTTAATCTCCTTATATATCTCTATTAAAATTTAGTTAAAATTATTTGATCTCTAATAATGTTCTAAATGTACATATCATATAAATTTTGATGTCTAAACTATATGTATGATATCTTTTGGTGTTAATTTACCACAATTTTAAATTCACATATATTTCTAATATATATATATATATATATATATATATATACATACATATGTAAATTTAATTGAAAGAAATGTAAAAGTAATACTCAAAGTCC